TGTATCACCAATATGGGCCACACTATAGTTTACATATAATTCAGCACGCTGATTTCATTACAAAATGGCCACTTAACTAATTTGTCTTAGGTGTACAGCTAATTTTTTTTAAAATTAAGAGTGAAATATTTCCCACACTCATAGTAGTGGAATCATTTGGTCATTGGTGGTCAGAGGTTCTGCTTCCAAACAAAAACATTAACAATGACACAAGCATTTCTGTGCTTCCTCTCTCATATATGGATTCTTTGATGCTTCAAAAGGTTTGAATTGCGAGTATAACATTTCCCACACTCCTGACATTTGTATGGCTTCTCCCCTGTGTGGACTCTCTGATGTGTAGTAAGGTATGAATTAAACGCATAACATTTCCCACACTCCTGGCATTTGTAAGGTTTATTTCCAGTGTGGATTCTCCAATGGATCAGAAGACTGGAATTCAGAGAAAAACATTTCCCACATTCCTGGCACTGATATGGTTTCTCCCCTGTGTGTACTTTCTCATGATCCACAAGCAGTGAATTGTTAGCAAAGCATTTCCCACAGTACTGGCACTGGAATGGTTTCTCCCTTGTGTGGACTTTCTGATGATCCACAAGCACTGAATTGTAAGCAAAACATTTCCCACAGTCCTGGCATACATATGGCTTCTCTCCTGTGTGTATTCTCTGATGGATTAGAAGACTTGAATTCTGAGTAAAACATTTATTACACTCCTTGCACTTGTATGGCTTCTCCCCTGTGTGGACTCTTTGATGAGTCACAAGGCCTGTTTTTTGAGCAAAGCATTTTCCACACTCCTGACATTTGTAGGGTTTCTCTCCAGTGTGGACTCTCTCATGCATTATAAGGTCTGCCATATAACCAAAACATTTCCCACACTCTTGGCACCGGTATGGGTTCTCTCCTGTGTGGACTCTTCGATGCTTGACAAGCTGAGAATGGTAAGCAAAACATTTCCCACATTCTTGGCATTTGTATGGTTTCTCTCCTGCGTGGACCCTCTGGTGACGCATAAGGTATGAACTGAGAGAAAAACACTTCCCACACTCCTGACATCTGTAAGGTTTATCTCCTGTGTGGACCTTCTGGTGAGACAGGAGGTTTGAATTCTGAGAAAAACATTTCCCACATGCCTGGCACTGGAATGGTTTCTCACCTGTGTGGATTCTCTGGTGGATCAGGAGGCATGAATTAAAAGCAAAACATTTCCCGCACTCCTGGCATT